AACTAATGTACTAGAAAGTGCAACAGAAAATGTAAGAAACCATACATAGATATTTAATGATAAATAGTCTCAAGCCTGTTATAAAATTCAAAATCCTTTAGTTTCTCAGTTTTAATATCTTTCAAAAGTTTCAAGGAGCCTATGAGATGGCAATTCATTATCCCACTGGAAAATGTTTGGAATATAGAACATTGAAAGTTAAAATTAAATTTATAAAGATCACAAGATATTTTCTTCAAATTAAGAGGATATTTTATGCAAAATAACCTCAAAGAAAAATATTTCTGACAATGAATTTTCATTACCAAGTCTTTAGTAATATATTCAAGTTTATTGTATACAAAGGGTTATGATAAAAATAGCCGAAGTGACTTATTCAGATTTCATTTATTAAGCAATTGTACAATTAATGTATGATTTTAATATTTTGTGCAAACATAATTAACATTATGAAGCAGAGATTTTGAAGTAAAAATAAAATGAAAATAACTTTTCAATATAATTTCTATACAACTACTAATACAAGCTGTTTTAAAAAAAGTAACTCAACAGTGTAATTGTAAAATGAACTGAGTGTTGGTTATTAGAAACCACTTACTTCAGAAGTCCCAGAATAAAAGCATAAAAGCGGCAAGTATTGTCCACTAAGTTTTCTTTGCCACTAACATATCTGATTAGTTCCTTGAGATCAGCAGGTGGTTCCCCTGAAATTAAAAGTAAACTACAACTTTTATTATTTTCTTTAGTCAACTGAAGTTTTACTATTTTACAAACTACAAGTTGTTTTCTTTCAGCAGTTAGAAAAGTATATAAAACAGTAGGCAGATTTAATTGCAAATCACCAGGTACTTATCTTTATTAAATAGGTACAAGTCATCACAAACCAAGTTTGAAAGGTACTTATATTTATTAAATAGGTACAAATCATCACAAACACCAAGTTTGTAAGGTACTTATATTTATTAAATAGGCACAAATCATCACAAACCAAGTTTGTAAGGTACTTATCTTTATTAAATCGGTACAAATCATCACAAACAAGTTTGTAAGGTACTTATCTTTATTAAATAGGTACAAATCATCACAAACTAAGTTTATAAGGTACTTATCTTTGTTAAATAAGTACAAATCATCACAAACCAAGTTTGTAAGGTACTTATCTTTATTAAATAGGTACAAATCATCACAAACCAAGTTTATAAGGTACTTATCTTTGTTAAATAAGTACAAATTATCACAAACCAAGTTTGTAAGGTACTTATCTTTGTTAAATAAGTACAAATTATCACAAACCAAGCTTGTAAGGTACTTATCTTTATTAAATAGGTACAAATCACCACAAACCAAGTTTATAAGGTACTTATTTTTGTTAACCCTATCACCCTGGGTAGCCTTTACTGCGCATGACAAAAGGTTTTAGTGTTTTACATTCTAAATTGTATTAAACTACTTTTTGCTTATGTTATACCAGTTAGAATAGCATAAATTCTTAGCTAGTAATCCATATTTTAATAGTTAATAGTTCTCTCTTACATTTCATTACTATATCACCTATAACCAATAGAAAGTCAAGGTTTTCATCTATCAAATGATGTATTGTATAATCTTGTGTTCTGTACAGAATATCATCAATTTCACTCCCAGTACAAGATTTGATCCCATGGGAAAGTTAATGACTAGCTTGGATGAATTTGTAACGGCTCTTGTCTTATAGTTAGAAAGCCAGGAAGATTAAGAGTTAAGGGGATTTGTGTACTTTTTGTATGTTATTAGTCTATATTCTTTGGTTCATTATTTAATTAAATAAAAATTATTAAATGCATTACTATCATTACTATAAAAAATTAGGCTTAACTCTCTTCGAAACCTGAGAGCAAAAAAAAAAAAAAGGATTGGGTAAGTACTTTATTTCTTGTTTTTCATATGTATTATTGTAAAAGTAACTAAAATGTAAAAATACAGATCTTTTTAAGTTACTTAAGGCTAGATTAGGTAAAATAAGTAATAATAATAATATAATTAAAATGGTTCATGATGCACACACACACGAGCAGCTCATGGGTAATGTAATGTAATTCAATAGAGTAACATAAGCTGCACATTCCCCGAATAATTTACATCTTATTGTGGCATGGATAATAGTTAGACATGGTTCAAAGTGCAAAAAAACAATAAAATTTAATTATAATTAGATGTATAACATTACAAACTTAGAGCTACTTAGGATAAACAAATGTAGTTTCATTTTACAATCTGAAATCATTCTAGAATTAAAAAAAAGGTTAATTTAGGTTTATTTAAATTTTTTTTGGAGGTTACAAGGTTGGTCGAATTGATCGATCCCGTTTTGAAACAGGGTAGAGAAAATAACAGATACACTATAGAATTTTACCGAACAAAAACGTTTCAAATGCATTCAGGAGGTTTTAGGGATTACACAAAGGAAATTTGAGATTTTTGAGATGATGAAAAGGATTTTTAATTTTAACATGAAAATTACTTTGCACATGGACTATTCAAAACAAATACTCAATATGGACAAAACTATTTAATTTTATTAAAAATACTTAAAGAAATATGACTTTTTGTATGTAAAAGACTTGTAATATTAACCAAAAGACTGCCAAATTTTGTAAAAATTTACATACTATGTTGAAAGTTAGAAGTATTAAATCTATAAAGGCTTTAAACGAGTACAAAAAGGTCACATGGTCGGTTAAATTGACTGAGCCCAGATTGAAAGTGTTAAACAGGTACAAATCATCACAAACACAGTTTCAATAATCTGTATGCAAAGTAATTTTCATGTTAAGATTAAAAATACTTATGAAACACTATCTAAAGTAGAGGTTCCACAAGCTGTGATCAGTAGACCACTCACTGGTGGTCTGTAGAAAGGTTTCATAATTATGGAAAGGAAGAGTCTGAAGATCCAAAGGAGGACTTGAGACCTTAAACATTCAGTTATATAGTCAAAAAGAATACATATATATATATATAAAAGTTAAGTGGAAAAACCTAACACTCTACCTTATATTGCTTTTAAAGTTAAGTGAAGAAATGTATTTTTCACTTGAGAGTTTTTGTACATTGTAAAATTGTGACCCACCTGCTAGTTTCTTTATGAAAGGAGAAGAGTGCTTGTTGGAGCTTTCTTTCAATGGAACATTAAGGTCAGAATTAAATAAAAAGACATTATTAGTTGCGGATTTAGAGAACCGGAGAGTACCTAGAACTTGCAGATAAAGCAATTTGTTTACTGATGCCATTTGCTACTTACTATGTACCTGTGCAAGGAATGATTAATATCCATATGACAGTGAATTTTATGTGCTTATTTTCCTTTGTTAAATTATACTGTCACTGTCCCAAAAAATACAGCTGTATAGGGTACTAATATTAATTACAAATTTTATTCCTGCATTTAAAGTTAGTATTTAAGAATAAAATAACCAGATTATAATTATTTTGGTGGTTTAACTAATAATTCAAACAATAATAAATTTACTGTGTACTTAGTCTGTGACCCATTGGTATAGCCTGAAGAGAGAAATATACATACCTAAAAGTTACAAAACTTTAAAAGCATGCTATACAGTATGGAAGATATTTTAAATTAACATCAAGTTATAATATGATTCCTGTAATTAGCCTTAAAATATGCATGCATCTGTGTATGTGTATGTACACATGTTCCCATAAATATTAGTATGTGCGTAAAATCTAAACTGAATAATTACTGAGAAGTTTACGTGAAAAATCAAAGTGTAAGGAAGAACAAAGCATACTGTACCAGAGAGAGCTGAGGCTTCAGCAACACGCCAGGGAGAATTGCTCACATAACCAAAAAGACCTTTCACAGTTGGAAGCAAACCATCAGCCACAATAGCATAGAGAGCCGGACATAGCCCTTCCAGGACCTGCAACAGATTGCTCAGTCTTACAAACTGTATTATACAATTTTTAACACAACGTTCAACTACACTAGAAGCATTCAGAGATTAGGGTGTGTATGCCAGTTCACAACGACAAACAATAAGTTTATAAAGAATCTAACTATAAAATTTAACACAACAAAATGCTCTGACACCTAAGAAGTTATTTTAGCTATGTGAAATATATATTTAGCAATGTTTATCTTAACTGCACATAAAAGCATTATACAACTTCAGAAAATGAAGTTTACAACATAAAATCATTCAAAAAGTACTTGGTTCAGTTGAAGGAATTGATACAAGAAAGAATTTAATTTCATCATTTCTTAAATAACATTACATTTTACTGTTGAACATGTAAGTAAGCTACTGCGTTTTGTCATTTGAATTGTACTTTACATGAAGTCCAACATAACCATCCTAAAAATAATGACTTGGAGTTATTTATTTCCCACAAGGATTCATCACTCCACAACTGTATGCCTATACATTTGATAACCTCCATACATTCCAGCGTCCAATATCATTTAGATGGGAAGCCTGTTTTTGTTTACATTGATATGATTAAAAATTTCAATGAGTTCATTCAGCCATATTTTATTCCAACACAAAAACAGTGAACAGAGAAGTATGTTCTTGACAAAAAAACTTTTAGGATGTTTTTTAAAAAAATAAAATTCATAAAGTGGCTTTATTCATTTATGAGTATGGATGACTGACTGGAAGTGAAAGTAGATGCATGAAATGATTATAAATTCTTTATTCTTTACTAGTGGTTTAAGGATCTGAAGACAGAAATCTTAGAAGAAATAAAAATGTACCAGAAAGGTGAGTAAAAATGTATAAATATTGTTTTAATAGTAACGTATACCAACAAATGATCAACAATCTCAATAAAATCTAAATGGTCCATTTCATTATTTTCACTGTGGTTATTATGAACTTAATAAATTTATATGATCATATTTCTTGTTAATTACAGACAATCTTTTAGTTACACAAAAATTGAATTTCACATTGATTCTGTCAAAGTCCCACTACATATCACATTTGACTCTATACCAACAAATGATCAACAATCTCAATAAAATCTAAATGGTCCATTTCATTATTTTCACTGTGGTTATTATGAACTTAATAAATTTATATGATCATATTTCTTGTTAATTACAGACAATCTTTTAGTTACACAAAAATTGAATTTCACATTGATTCTGTCAAAGTCTCACTACATATCACATTTGACTCTATGGTTATGATCCCTTTCTTATTTGGGCAAGCCCAAGAAACTTACAAGATACCAAAAAAAATTATACAAGGAATTAAAAAGAATTATAATGAATTTCATTTCTTTTTTAAACTTCAGTAAATAAATATTTTGTGAAATTTTGTAAAAATTATAAAAATGTATGTTGTGTGAATGGTCAATACATTGATTTGTGTAATCAAATCCCCCCGACAACAGAAAAAACTCTACAACTGGTTTTAAAATTAAAGATTAGGAATCTTACATAGTTATGTACAAACACAAAAGTAACCAAGTGAAAGAGAACAGACTATATAGATTACAAATCTTTCTTATTTCAAATCCACTCATCTTTGTGAATTACTTTAAAATTGAGGCTACAAAAGTAATTTATTAGACACAAAAACCAACTGTTAGAAGCAGTAAAATAAGAAGCCTGATACAAACAGCAACAATATCAAACTAATGAAGCTAGCTAATCTAAGTACACAACAATTAACAACTTTTTTTTTCATGCTTGTGTATGGATTGATCTATGGACCCAATGGAGACGTACAACACCATTTACAACATTAATACATTGGAGGAACAAAAAGATCAAGAAAAAGTCAGAATTCAGGAAGACTGTACTACCAAATTATTTCCAATAGCATCAGAGAAGACTAGGTCGTCAAGAAATAAATGTCGCGTTTTGGGACACTTTCATTAAACACCCCCCAAACAACGTACATCACATATAATAGTTAAACGAACCACCTAAATGTCACTTTTGTGTAGCCTATATAATGTATAAAGTTTAATATACTCAAATCCCTCATAGTGGTCGTATACGATAAGACATGCACTCGGCATGTAATGCTGTTTGAATACAAGAAGGGAAACAATGCCTCTGTAGCCACAAAGAACATCAAAGAAGTTTATGGAAATGTTTCGAATGTTCATAAGTGTCAACGATGGTTCAGCAAATTTTGTTCAGGTGACCTTAGCCTTAAAAACTGTGATGGCAGGAGCCGACATGTTGGAATTGATATTGATGCTCTGAAGACGCTTGATGAGTCTAACCCAAGGCATCACATTGGTCAAATGGCCCTGAAATTGCATGTATCTCATGAAACAATACATAAACATCTAAGGAATATGGAAAAACTCCATAAAGAAGATATTTGGGTGCCTCACGAACTCTCCAATGATCATCATTTCCAACGTATGAACATTGCTTCGTCTCTTCTGGTGCATAAT